CAGGTTGAGTGGGAAAACCATGAGGGGTGTAGTTTTGCTCGAATTGTTGAGCAGGTGCTTGTGCACTGCTACTAGCTCCTCTTTGGTTACTCTACGACAAGTTTGGATGGTGCCTCCATCCAAGGTTGTAGGTGTTTGAATACGGATTAAAATTCCGCTGGGCACTATTACCTATATAGTAAACAGATACTGGATTATGGGTCAGAGGGCCTATGTCAAAGACCGTGTTTTATGCGCTTATGTCTCAGTCACATCCTATATTGGTTTCCTATTATTTTACCTAACCCACCATTCGAAAAGTTGGGTTTTAGTGCATAAATCAATTTCCCACTACCTAAATGAAAAAAGACGTAAAGAGAAATTTTTGAAACCAACCCAAGATTGTGCCAGACGCAATCTGGGCAAATCTCGAGCATGTTCGAAATCAAATCATTTGGATAAGGCATTTGACAGAGAGGTCGATAAATAAATTAGTGCATAATCTAAGGAAAGAAAACGCACAAAAACATTAATGAAGGAATTTCCATTGAATTTAAATAAATAATAACAATGGACAAGGTGGTACAGCTTGACACTCTTCTCTTTCGAGCATGAGGCGAGTGTAAACGAGCATAATAACTTTAAAATAATGCATTATATGAGGAATGGAAAGTACAAACTCGAATTGAAGGCAATATGATAAGTAAATGTATGAAAATACAAGAAAATGACAACGAAAACTTAACCCACCCTTCTCAGAGTTGCGCTTTAGTGCATAAATCAAATTCCCAGTGGCCGAGTGGAAAAAAGATATAAAGACAATTTTTTAGAAACCAACCCAAGATTGTGCTGGGCGCAATCTGGTCAAATCTCAAGCATGTTCGAAAATCAAGTCATTTAACTAAGACATTCCACAGAGAGATCGATAAATAACTTAGTGCATAATTAAAGGAAAGAAAATGCACAAGAACATAAAAGAAATAATTTCCATTGAATTTTAATGAATAATTTCAACAGAGAGATCGATAAATAATCTCGTCTTTTTCGCGCGTGAGGGGAGTGTAAATTCGCGTAAGAATGTTTAAAGAACGGAATAAATGAAAAACGGAAGTACAAACTCGAATTAAAGGCAATTCAATAACTAAAAGAGGTAAAATACAAGAAACGAACAACTAAAATATAACTCTAATGCTTATGAACGAACTATACAGCTAAGAACGAGAGAAACGAATATGAAAACGAGTTGAGAATGGATGATTTGCTGTTGGGGGAGTGACTTCTTTTTATAGGTCCTCAAGGTGGTTGAACTACCTTCCATTTTAAGTGGAACAGAGTTGAGATTATCTCAACAAACGTTCACTGACTTGGACTCATGGTTTTGGGTTGATTCAAACATGTTGGAAATGATTCCCTTGCCCTTCTTTAAGTGAAACACACGTTTTGAAGAAATCTTGACTAAAAAAACGCCAGGTGCTTTTTTCCTGCAAAACAGATTTCTTTTATTTTCTTCCAACTTTGACTGCATTTTTCTCATATTTTTCTTAAAGTACCATATATTGCAAATTATCCATTAATGTTCTATGCATGTTATACTTTAAGAATATGTAAGCCTTTTTAGCTAATAATGATGGGAAAGTATTCAAAATTATGGTCAAACAGGCCTACCGACACACATTTCTACAATAAAAAGTCAACCCTAACTGAGGCTGAGTGCGTTGTAGCTTTTGAAGCAGCGAAGGAAGCAGTTTGGCTTCGGAAGTTCTTAACAAAATTATAAGTCGTTCCAGACATGAACTTGCCCATCACACTTTACTGTGATAATAGTGGTGTTGTGGCAAATTCTAAAGAACCTCGAAGCCACAAGAAAGGCAAGCACATCGAAAGAAAGTACTACCTTATATGGGATATAGTGCAACGAGAAGATGTGATCGTCACAAAGATCGCATCGAAGCACAACATTGCTGATCCTTTTACGAAGGCACTCACGACTAAAGCGTTTGAGGGTTATCTAGATGTTGGGTGTGTTGCCCTAAACTCGTAGTTTGTAATTATGTAAAAAACAAATTTATATTCAATCAATTTGTTGTTGAATTTATAGCATTGCATTGTCCAAATCCAATCAACTAAACATCCAGAGTTAATTATCATGTAACCTAGACAATATATATATTTGATATACCCTCGATATACAACTGGATAATGTCTCGGGAATAACCTATAGGGTCCATAGTATATGGATAAGGCTGGGTACCTTATCTTGGCAACACTATGGATACGATCCACTTTGTAAATGTTACAAATGACCCGATCCAGGTCGTTCGTGTGGAGACATGCGAGTGGGGGTTTCCTATACAATGAGTTTATATAAGACCAGACTGCGAAATAGCTAATCTTTAGATGTAACGCTGTTGACTAACAAATTGCTATTTAATAGGATGACGAGGCAACTCATTTTCAATCCTGAGCGAGTTATGGACTCGTATCCGTGAGGGCTCGTCATTCGTTCTGTACGAGTGAGAGTGGCCCAAGTCGCTAACTCAACATTCGTACCATTTTAGGGACAAGATCGAGTGAGGAGCTGGGAACATAACTTCACAAGATGGAATTCACTCCTCTCGACATTTTGGGGAGTTGATGAGTGTTCTCTTTAATGCTGATTCTGGTTTTTGAACAAAGGGCCCCGCCCTCTCACTAGCCCAAGAGGGACTTCCGGTTATTGGTCGGACCATAACCAGATTGTTCATTAGAGGAACAGTGGTATTTATGGAGTAAGATGTAACACAAGGGTAAAACAGTAATTTGACCCAGCTTGAGTTACGAGCACTCGTGAAGAATTGATGATTACGCTTGTTCACATGCGTAAAAAGAAGGTTTTAGATGCTGTTTTTACTATGTTTTAGCTTTGTTTCGGATTTTTCTCGGTCGTTTGAGTTCCAATTCATGCAAAATTCATATATTATGGTTTGTGGTTGGCTTATATTGTATTTATGACATTTTAGGACCATTTGGGAGTGGAAATTAATCAAAAGAAGCAAAAAGACGAAAAAACCTACATGGGAGGCGCCAGGCGCCTGCGTGCCTGYAGAAAAACTGGTTTTCTTCCAACTTTGCCCTTAATGAAACGCGTCTTCCAATGCGTTTTGGTGGTTCCAACCGATGCATACGTGTAGAAGAAGTGTTCCACTATCAGTTTGAGCACGATTTGGTCAGTCAAAAGAGTTGGAAATGGGTGATTCACCATCGTTTTAGGACCTACCTAACCAAGTCTGCACAGCTATAAATTCCAGCAACTTCTCCACCAAAT